CAGTTGGCGTTGAAGGTGAACTTCTTACTGCCAGTTTATTTAAGTTGTTCATTCAGAAAATTAATTAGAATGTTGTTCAAACCTTTTCTCTGTAAATTGGTCTTTTACATTTGTTTTCTATTGTTGTCTCAGATCAGTGCAAATTCTGTGTACGGGTTTACGGGAGCCACTATTGGGCAGTTACCATGTTTAGAAATATCCTCAAGCGTARCTAGCTATGGTATCTCTTTTGTGAGCACTGTGACTTTCTTAGACACGCATCTTTTATGTTAATTCTGATGGATTTGTATCTTTTTGAAGGTCGTCAGATGATTGAACAAACGAAGAAACTTGTGGAAGATAGATTCACAACATTGGGAGGGTATGAATACTGCAGAGGTACAATTAATTACCGGTATTGAAAAGTCTGAGTGAAGCGTAAGTTTGATTTTACATTTCTTAAGTTTGACTGACAATGATGATGTATTAGGTAATTTATGGAGACACAGATTCAGTCATGGTGCAATTTGGAGTTTCGGATGAAGAAGCTGCAATGAACTTGGGGAGGGAAGCTGCAGAATATATCAGTGCAASTTTTATCAAGGTGAGTGGTTTGTTTTGCTAGGATCATATCATTAAATTCTCCCTAATCCATGGAGGTTGAGGTGCAAGATTACGTGATAGAGATGAATCAGTTAGTATTTTATCAGAAAGGCTGAATCTTACTCTGTTTCTTGATTGTGTATGATGTCATGAAGCACATCAAATTGGAGTTTGAGAAGGTCTATTTTCCATATCTGCTGATTAACAAGAAGAGGTATGCTGGTTTGCGGACAAATCCTCAAAAGTTTAACAAAATGGACACCAAAGGTAAATATTCGTGATTTCACTGTTCATATCTTGTTCATTTTCAGACTAAGTATCTATATAACTGGCTTTGGCAGGAATCGAGACAGTACGAAGGGATAATTGTTTACTGGTCAAGAACCTTGTGACCGAGAGAATTCACAAAATACTAATTGATAGAGATGTTCCAGGCGCAGCCAAGTATGTTAAGAATACAATTTCGGATCTTCTCATGAACCGTATTGACTTGTCACTTTTGGTGATTACCAAGGTAATATTGTTTCTTGATTTCTTATCTTGTGATGTTTGTGTCACCCTAAGTATATGGTCATGATTAGAGCCATCTGTGAGAACCTTTATCTGGTTTTCTTTTTGTGTGGAAGCAAGAAACATGTGAGATGATTTCAAAATTCTGTATCCCCCAACTAGTTAGGTGACTGAAAGCCCAAATTAGTGGCTGGGTAATTTCTAAAATAAAAAGTTATGTTTTGATGCGTTTTTGAAGTCTTTGGGATCCGGTTGTAAAGCATTCATTATGGAGTTTTTTGGGATCAACATATATGTTACTAATGAATTTCTCAAATGGTAGGGCCTAACTAAAACAGGAGATGATTATGAAGTTAAATCAGCTCATGGTGAACTTGCTGAAAGCATGCGTAAGGTTTGTGGTACTCTTTATCTTCTTCTTTTTTTTTTTTATCATTTGCATGATAAAGCATTTCATATATTATGGTAAGATAACTCTTGACTGTTTGTTTCCATTCATCAATATACATGTACAAAATGTGTCTAGGAGAAATTTCATTCCCTTACATTAGTTCCAGCGTCACATGCACACTCTCAAACTGAAAATTACAAGTGCTAAATAGTTATTTTTTGGCTTTTAGAACATCTATGTGATTCTTACAGCGTTCTTTTGGAGCTGCATAAGTACATGGATTTTTCTTTAATCCATGCATTCTTTGGTGAATATATGATATCATACAGAGGTTGCTCGGAAACTGAGATATGTGAAATTTGAGAACCTAAGATATGTTTGCTTTTCGCATTGTGACAGAGGCATCCTGCTACAGCGCCAAAAGTTGGGGATCGGGTACCGTATGTTATTATAAAAGCTGCTAAAGGTGCCAAGGTAGCCTTCATGTGAACCTTACTTTATCTTTTCAAGATGTAGAGGTCATTCTCTTCGACTGTGCTTATCCCATTTTGATGCCAACTAGGCTTATGAACGGTCAGAAGATCCGATATACGTGCTTGAGAATAACATCCCGATAGACCCAAATTACTACCTGGAGAATCAAATTAGCAAGGTCAGTTGGAAGTAGGGCCTGTCTACAAGTTTATTATCTACTCTTTAAAGCAGATGTTGTTTGCTTTCCTTCTTTTGGAAGAATGTCAATGCTGTTCATCTTATCTGTGCCGAAACTGAAAGCTGTTTATTTGAACCTTTTTGCAGCCACCATTCTCCACATACTGTAAAGAAGTTGTGGAGGTCAAGAGCGTGCTTAATGGAGGTGGTGATGAAGGTGGAGGAGATGGTGAGGGAGACGATGGAGAGGAGTTTAGTGGAGGTGGTGATGAAGGTGGGGGAGACGATGGAGAGGAGTTTAGTGGGGGATCTGATGGAGGAGATGGTGGGGGATTTGATGGAGATGGAGACAATGAAGTGGTAAACAGAAACAGAAACAGAAACGAGGTCTGGTGGGATATTGAGAATGGAGGTTTTACGTATGATTTCTTTGAGAAGGATGGAGTTGATCCTACGGATAGTAGTAGGGTACCTTGATAGTTACATACCACAATATCTGAGAAACGAGGAACTCTTCCAAATCTTCCATGCCAATCAGTTCAAGAGTAAGTTTTCATTTTGTTCTTGTTTTTTGTTTTTGTTTTTGTTTCTTGTTTGTTTTTTTTTGTCTCATTTGCTTTTTTTTCTTCATTGGCTTTTTTTTTCTCCAGGGTATGCAGGAGATCAAGCAGTGGATAGACGCATTAATTTAGCACTTACTCATTGGCTTGCGGAGAACCCTCCATCGCAGAATGTGTTGCTTATTTCCAATGATAAATGGTTTAAAACCATTCTAGGGTTCTTGGCAGATGCTGCTGGGCACACGACCCTCGTGGTTTCCATGAATGATCCATCTAAACAAAACAAAATGAAGAGGTATGTTCAACATTACTAGACTTTTAGAGATTACTGGACCTCTCATGCGTCTCCGCTCTTTCTTGGTCTCCCCTTGACCCAGAGAAAATAAATCTCTAAAGGTCTAATAATGTTGAGCATACCTCTTCATTTTGTCTTGTTTAGATGTATCATTCATGGAAACCACGAGGATCGTGTGCCCAGCATCTGCCAAAGACCCTAGAATGGTTTTAAACCCTTTATCATTCGAAATAAGCAACACATTCTGTGATGGGGGTTCTCCGCAAGCCAATGTAGTACTACACATGCAGAGGAAGGACGAGGCAAGGAGGGAAGAGGCTGAAGCTGAAGAAAAAAGAAAGAAAAGACGCAGACGAAGCTAGCTTCTTGAACGCTTCTTCTAGACTCGGACGGACTCGACGAGCATCGTAACCCTCCGGAATCGGACAGTCTTTCATGTCCCACCACACCGCTATTTGAATGTTTTAAAATTTCTGTTATATTTGAGTTTATATAATTTTTTAGAAAACAGTTCAGCAATTTCAATAACATAAATATCATTTGTTGGCATTTTTTTCTTTCTATAGTTTGTTTTCAAAAAATTGTGATTTCATTTATTCTTAGTTGATTAATTATAATTAACCACTGATGAATATAAATTTTTCACTAACTCAACAATTTGTTCACTTTAAATAACTTATTTCGTTATTTGTAATTATAAGTATCGTAATTGGAAACAAATTTTATAACGAAGAAAGCTAGTTTCATTTGTTTGTACAAATATCTTTAAAATAAATGTAAGGTTTCATTTTCGACCAAAAAAATTAAAAAATGTAAGGTTTCATCACCTATATTCAATGAAAAAGAAAGAACACAGAGAGTGGGCAAAGAGAAAATAATAATATAAAGTGAGATGGTTGTGACAAAAAAAAGTGATATGGTATGGTAAAGCCTTTTATATGTTATGTCAAGACTCAAAACT